TGGTCTTCACTTAACATCAGGACGTATTTTGCTCACAACTGTCCTTTCCTTCTACCTGTGCCGACCACCATCCTCTGCTCCTATCCATGCCAATCTCCTACAGCCATCGTCATGGCCATGACGGTAGCAGCAGGGCTGAATGGCACCACCGCCTCCTAGACCCCACAGCACCAAAGGGCTTCCAGGAGGTCACATTCTCCACTCCGTAGTTTCAGCATTTGCAAAAACTGAGGACTGCAACACCTATCGTGGGTGCAAACACACTACCCTTTGCTAAGCCCTGCAGGACTCTCGCCTGAGAGGAGCCCAGCGCGTCGAGTGCAAGGTTTGGGCGCAGGGACAGGCTGCAGGGAGGCCGTGGCTCCCAGCGTGTGCACAGCGCTCCGCAGCCTTCACCTCCGCGGGGGCAGCTCCCAGCAGCAACCAGCAAAGGTCTCCCCAAAGCCACGTCCCCCCCCACTATCGCCCTTCCCTCCGGACTCCTGTAACGCAACACGAGCCTCCCGCTCTGCGCACGCGGCCCATGTGGCACGTGCTTGGTGCATCGCCTGGGTTCGTTGTTAACGCAGCCCACCAGGCTCCAGGGAGGCCCTTGCGGCATGTTGGTTCATTAATCCTGGGAAAACACAGCCCCCTAGTAATAGCCATTGACACATTAACTGCTCCAATCCATCATGGCAATGACTGATAGCTAATCAGTCACCGGAGCGATGCCAGAGCTCACCTGCCAGCCAGGCCAGGCCGGTCAGCACGGTCGGTGGTAACATCACGCCTGGGCAGCGCCTCTCGACGCCGCCGTGCTCCCTGGGTGCTACCAGGCCACCTCAGGCAGGGCCCCACTCCCTCGGGCTCTCTGCAGCTCCTCCTGCCCCCTCTAACAACCGGGATGCAAAATGCAGCCCTTGCAAGGAGCATTTGCAGCCTCGTCTTCGCCTAGGGGAAGAGTCAGGGAAATGCATGTCACAGCAAAATACCAAAGCGCTCTTCATCCTGCTGCAGGGAAAGCCAGACCCAGATGTAGGTCCCAGCTGCTAAAGGTTCAGCATGGACTGCGTTTCCCAGCCCAAGTTTAGGATGCTGGAGAAGAGCTGGTTTTCCAGAAGCTCAGTCCTGCACAGCTGCCAGCGCAAAACCCCGGCCAGGCCTTCCAGCTACGTGCTCTCCAGCAAGATGCACTCTGCTGAAAACCTGGCCGTCCGCCCGCCTGCCATTAAAATAAGTGGCAATACTCCCACGGAGCTGGACGCTCACAGGATCGTGCCCAGAGGCCATCTCCTGCAGGGAGACCAGCGCTGTGGTGACTTGGTTCCCAGCGGGAGCTGGAGCGACTCTCAGGGTTATTCTGCTCCGGTGCAGGCAGGGCAGCCCTGGAAGAGCCACGGACCCGGCCAAGCCCCACGCACACGCGTGCAGCCTACAGCCCTTAGCCACAGCAGCGTACAGCCAGGAGAGGCACAACCCAGGGGAGATGGTTGAATGGAGAAGAGCCTCTGTCACATTGTCCCTAACACAGGAGAGAGACCCTCTTCCCTCCCTCCGCCCCAGCTCCCCTTTCACACGAAGGCTGAGGAAACAGCCGCCACCGCCACCAATGACTTCTGCACTTTTTATGCGTCTTATTTCGAGATGCATTGATGAAACACATGACAGAAGGGGAAAGAGCCATTGCATCATCTTCTCCCTCGCAGCCTGAAATCGGGGGGCTGCTGGCGTTGCAGCAAAGCATCACCTCGCAGCCGAAAAATAACCAGGGGCGGCTCCGCTTCCTCCACGTCCCGGATCTGCCCGGGACGGACGCACGCACCTCTCCTCTACGCTGCTCAGTCAGAAGCCAAAACATCACCAGCATGAGTGTCACCATCAAGAACATCAAAACGTAATTAACATTTAAAAACCCGGCTCACACACGTGACGCTGCTGGGCGCCGCGGGAAAAGGGAAGGGCCAAGAGGAGGTAGCGGAGCGGAAGGGCGCAAGCGCGCCTGGGGACGCCCCGATGACAACGGGAAAGCGGCGAGCACTTTGGCTTCTTCAGCAAATCTGCAAAGGCCGCAGCTGGACGGGGCCGCGGCGAGGAGAAATGCTTCAGAAGAAGATCGAGCGCTCCCGGAGAGTCCGATGCCGGCAGCAAACAGATGCGGCCCCGTCCTCGATACGGCTTCGCCCG